CGCCCATCCTTCTTCCTACTCCCACTTGCAGAAGGAGAACATCTGGGAGTTCAAATATATGGAGATAGGAAAGTTCAAAGAAAGCAGCGTGCCTTGCAAATTGGCAACTGGAAGGAAAATGAATGGCCTCCCAAACGAATACATGGGCCAAGGATGGGTCTTGGGGCTACCACACCCCCATTTATATGCTAAACCGCATAATTAGGCTACAAGCAGTTGTAGAAATTATAACCAATGAAACTGCTAGGGCTCTTAATTTACTTGCTAAGCAGCAAACCAAAATGCGCAATGCAATCTACCAAAATCGCCTGGCCTTAGATTACCTGCTTGCTTCTGAGGGTGGTGTTTGTGGAAAATTCAACTTGAGCAACTGCTGCCTACAGATAGATGATGAAGGAAAAGTCATAGAGGAGATCACAGATCGAATGAGAAAAGTTGCTCATGTCCCAGTCCAAACCTGGAATTGTTGGAACCCCAGAGAGTTATTTGGAGGATAGTTTTCATCTTTCGGAGGATTCAAAACCCTCATAGGTATTGTCCTCCTAATTCTGGGAGGATGTTTGATCGTACCCTGCTTGGCTCCCTTGATTATACGATCGGTCTCCAGTCTCATTGAGACTATAGTTGAGAGAAAAACAGCTGCTCATGTAATGATGTTATGGAAATATAAACCTCTAAGCCAGGATGATGCTCTTTGACCCAAAATAGAGGGGTCCGAGCATCAAAGGGGGGAATGTGGTAGGAACCCCTCCCTAAGGAGAAAGAAAAAATCGAAGAAGAGAGGAGAGAAGACTTCAAGGTCACCTAGATATGAGTCCAGCTGCTTACATCCCCCATGTTCCTGTAAGCTGAAACAACTTAATTAGACTGCATGTTTTATGTGTATTACCATATATGGGAGACAAAGAAATAGAAAATGTATTAAAAAAACTATGCCATATGATGTGGGCCGCTCAGTTCTTTTGGGTACGAACTCAACTGAGCAGTGCCGGCAAAATAAAGTTGCTTCCTGGAAAGAAAAGTCTCGGTGTCACGACTCTCTGAGCGAGAATCCTGCAACAATCTGGTTTTTAAAAAAAACTGGAAATAGTTGAGAACCATTCCTAAATATGATACTAGGAGTTTTACCCTATTGGAATTATTCTCTGCCTCCCTTTGCTTTTCTGTAGTACTAAATTTTCTGTCATTACATTAAATATAAATAATTAATTTAGAAATAATTTTAAATTTTATTATTTATTTAATAAAATTTAAAAAATTAAAAGTCCACTTCCAAATAATTAAGAGTAAAGGAAATAAGAAATCATATTTTATGGAGTAGTTCGGAGTATTAGCTTGCTAAAGTTGTGGAATGCAACAGATAAAACTTTCTGCTATATTTTTGTAGTATATATTGAAATGATAAAGTCAAGACCAGTACTGGAGAAATGGGTACATTGGACAATAGTGTGTGGCAGAAAAGTGAGTTCCAGTACAAGCTGGTGAAAAGAAGGAAAGGGAATAGTGATGTATTCATTAGGGGTGAAAATAAACAAAGTTCCGTAGCTACTTTGAAAAAGAATTCTGAGTTATTTCAAAAGTTTGCAGAACACACAAAAAATTATCAAGTTAAGGACATTGTTAAAAGTCAAAATTGCATTATTTTTAACATAAGTCTTGAAAGATAGATGAAATTTTGTCCCAGTCAAACAAATGTTCTTGAGTTAATTTTATTTTTTTAAAGTACCAAAGAATGCAAAACAAAACTTAAAATTTAACTTTATTAAATATGGTATCCCCATTTAAATAAATGAATGAAGTATAACAGCTTCAATATAATTTTCAAAGTGTTTGAAAATTCAGACCAATGAAATTGGATAAAAGAGAAGTAAAAACATTTTAAACATTTCTAAGTAATGATTTACAAACAATACTTATAAAACAATAATTCTATGGTCTTAAAAACACTGCTTTATTTTTCTGAGGCTAATAACCTCTACATGCATAAATTCTAAAATCAAAACACAAGAATCACTCCTTCCTCCCCTCCCCTCCCCCTTCAGAGGTCGTCTTTTTCTGCAGGGAGCAAACTGCTGATGGAAATTCCCCTTAGGTAAGAATACCACAGAAGCCAGGAGGCGGAAGGAAGTCATGGAGGAGGCCTCACCCCTATGCAGTGCAGATGCTCATGGGATCCTCCCTTGTGGGCCACTGCCCTCCCTTCCATTCTGGACCTTCCCTGGTGCATTGCAAGAAACCCAGCAGGGCAGAAAGATGGCACGTTTTCTGCTGGAGGTGCCAGTCTTGGCACACTGGTGGAACCTGGAACAGCAAACTTCTAGACTTTGGGCTTGGGGACAATGGCTGCATTGTTTCTGGTTTCCCACCACCTGCTTCCTTGCAGATGGTCCAGAAGTAAGATTTTCTAATTAATACAGAAAATTCAAAATTGACATACCATAAAATTTAATCTTCCAAAGAAGCATTATCAAACAAAAAAATTAATGTTTATTTATTTCAAAGGAGAGACTGAGTGAGCAGGAGAGGGGCAGAGAGAGAGGACAGAATTTGAACCTGGCTTCAGGCTCTGAGCTGTGAGCTGTCAGCACAGAGCCCAACAAGGGAGCAGCTCAAACTTAGGAGCTGGGACATGACCTGAGCTGAAGTCTGATGCTTAACCAACTGAGCCACCCAAGGGTGCCCCAGAAAAAATATTAGAAATTAAAACTCAATATGTAGCAACATGCTATCAAGAAACCACAGATTTCAAGTCCGGTTTTAAAATTTCAAATGTTCTGTTAGTTGAGTTGAAATGAACAGATTTTAATTTCAATCCCAACTAAATTTCAGTATAATACTCCATTTGGTTGGGTGGGGTGAAAAACTGACTTATTTCCTAGAGAATAAAATAGCTAACTTAAATCTAATGTTGTAATTTCAACACACAGAAAATATATTCTAACCTAATACATTTTCAAGCATGATAGGATATCAGATAATTTTGACTATGTAAGAATGATTTCAAAGAGCTATAGAAAAGAGTGAATAAAGAAAAGAGATCAGGTACCTTGAAAAATGCTAACAAAACTTTACTTGTTTGAAGAATAGAAAAAATTAAAATTAGTAACTGGACTCCTTCAAATGAAAAATTGGCAAAACAATAAAAGCAAGAATATGATGCACCTAGAAAAACTCCAACAAGGTGAAAATAAAGTGATATTTTTTTCTCAGTCATATTGGAATACTTTTTAAAAATGACCTACCAGGGTGCCTGGGTGGCTCAGTCAGTTAAGTGTCTGACTTTGGCTCGGGTCATGATCTTACAGTTCATAGTTTCGAGCCCTGTGTCGGGCTCTGTGCTGACTGCTCAGAGCCTGCTTCGGATTCTCTCTCCCTCTCTGCCCCTCCCTGGTTTTCTCCCTCTCTCTGTCAAAAATAAATAAACATTAAAACAATTTTTTAAAAAGGTAAAATAAAATAAAAACAACCTACCAAGGGTTTAGGCTGTGAAATTACATTCATCTAATGAACCATCTTACGAACCTTGCAATTGATGAGGAAAAATGACATACACACATTTATAGAAGGATGAATTTGACACAGGACAAACATAACTAAACAGCTTTTATAATAAAATACAGCTATGTACGTGTGTGTCCATGAAAACACACCATGTAGTCGATGTTTCTAAATGAAATCCATCAGTGAAATAGGTTTAGACCAACCTGAACAACAATTAATTATAGAAAGTGGCATTAAAAAGTAGATATGGAGTCAGGTTTCCCTGTGATTTTACTGTAAATAATTCTGAGTTGTGTTGTTTCCCTGGAAGCAAAACATAGCATTATGTTTCAATTTTGAAATAAAGATTTAAAAAAAGATTCCTACTCAAATGAATGAAGTTATTTTTGGTTCTTGGGTCCTCTTTTCCCTCTTATGACTTTTTCTTCTTTCAGCCTTGTGACACTTTATCCCTTCCATAACAACTCAATATTATCCCCAGCAGCTGCTGGTAACATACTGTGAGCTTTTCAATGAGACTGACTTTGGCCTCTCATTTTCTTGATGCCAGATGGCGCTGCAACCCTGAATCCTAGAAATGAAATTAAGTTTCTATTCCTGAAACATGAGTAATAAAGGCATGCAAATAACTTGTGCATGGAATATTCACAGACTGATTTGGAATCTCACACAGGAAAGCCTAAGTAGATGAAGAGAATGGTGGAAGTTATAACCCATAATTCCTTGTGAGATCTCCCTTGGACTTCAGGATTGTTTTTTCTCTCTGCTAAATCCTTTATCCTTTTGCCTGCACAGATTCTTTCTCTAAAACCAAGGGTTTGTATTAGCAAAACTTCAGATAACAAGAAACTAAAATTTTTAATTTTATAGGCACACCAACAGCATTCTCATTGAGAAGATGTCAAATGTAGGTAATAAATGTGTAAGAAAAGAACATACAATCAATTAAGTGAAGTGTCATTCCTTCAAAATTTAGCCTGTACATGTATATTTCACTTGATTCAGGTAGATTCAACATTCTCTACTTGTGGTGCCTCAAATATTTTGTCATCAGTTTATATCCTATTTCCTACCTGGAACAAAAATCCTACTCTTGTCTTCCCTGTTCTATTTTCCTTGAGTTTCTACTACTTACCTTTTATGTCTCTAGTCATTATTTGCTTCCTCCAGCAAGCCTTCTCTGACCATTTAAATCTAAATTACAGGCTCATCTATATCTCTGAAATCCTTCAGTATTGAAATTGCAGCTTTTCTACTATAGGAGAGGAAAAAAGTTTTTTGTTTCCAGCACTCTAAATGGTTTTTTTATTATTATTATTATTATTTATTTCTAGGAGAGAGAGAGAGAGAGACAGACAGCGTGAGCAGGGGAGGGTCAGAGAGAGAGGGAGTCACAGACTGAAACAGGCTCCAGGCTCTGAGCTGGCAGTCAGCACAGAGCCCGACGCGGGGCTCGAACCCACGAACCGCGAGATCATGACCCAAGCGAAAGTCGGACGCTTAACCGACTAAGCCACCCAGGCGCCCCTGTTTCCAACACTCTAGATTCTCCACTGGGACTCTGTAACAAAAGCCAGATTAACAAGAGAAAAATGTACAAATTTATTTAAGTTTTACATAATACAGGTGCCTTCATTATGAAATGAGAAGACCGATGGGAATATTAAACCTGAATGTTTTTATATAAGGTTTGATAAGAGTAGAAAGTCATAGAAAAATGTAATAGGACAAAAGGGTATGGGCTAATTATAGTAAACTGGAGGAAATTTAGTAAGGCCTGTTCATTCAGATTCCTCTTGGTGTCAGTCTTAGGAGATAAGTATCCTCCTTTCCTCCAAGTATAGGGAGGGCACCTCTCACATGAGTATCTTAGAAGGGAAGAAGGTTAGGGAGTCCTTTAAGCAACTACTTTTTTTCAAATTCCTTCAGCTTAAAATAATATGCCAAGGTGCCACATTTTGGGCCCTGTCACTATTCACAATTTAATTGCCTATTAATTTATCCGAATTCCTGCTCCATTGATGTTAAACGCATGAAGAAGGCTATGTTTTTCATTCACCTGTTCATCCACTGCATGTAACAAAGTAAATGCCACGTGGTTGCCACTCAAAATTGGCTTGCGTATATGTAGCAGTTTCCTTATATTCATCTTCCCTTC